GGGGGGGTGGGAGGAGAGTCGATCGCTTGGGTGCTTCTTCTCAAAAAATGTATTAACTTTAATCGCATTAAAAACCGCGGCCGTTCAACTGGACTGGAATACAGGTCCGAAGTCTAACCGAGTATTTCCGGGGGGGGTTAAAAAAAAAAAAATTAATAATAAAAGTGACTGTGTCATAAGCTCCACGCAAGGATGACTGCGTGTCTCTCTCTCTCCGCCCCGCCGGCGCCGGCGCGCTGGGTGCGAGGGGCCGGCGGTTGAAGGAGAAAACGGGGCTGGGTGCCATGGCGGCCGGTGGAGGGGAGGAGAGGGGGGGTTTGGAGGCGGCCGTGCGGGGTGGTCTCCGCATCCATCGCTCCCGCAGGATGCGGAGGAGGTGAGCGCCCTGCAGGCGCTGCCGGTGAGTGGTTCCTCCTTCCCTACCCCACCCCCCCCCCAGCCCAACCTTCTCCCTGGGGTTTGGGGTGGGAAGGTTGGTCTTCCTGCTTTTTGCCCATCTCTCGCTTCTTTTGCTTGTTTTTTTTGTTTGTTTGTTTGGGGTTTTTTTTGGTGGTTAAAGCCCTGCTCTGGACGGTTTTCAGATCAACGTGCAGCTGAACATCCTGTCCTTCCTCTCACCCCAAGACCTGTGCCATTTGGGAAGCACGAGTCGTTACTGGAGGGCGGCTGTGCAGGATCCCTTGTTGTGGAGGTATTTTCTCCTGAGGGATCTCCCCTGCTGGGCATCTGTGGATTGGAAATCGCTCCCAGACGTGGAGGTTTTTAATAAAGCCTTCTCAGAGCAGAGCGATAACGCGCTGTATGATTACATGGCAGTGTAAGTATCCTCCTATTCTCTTACAAGACACAGTCTCTCTAGTGCAGTAATACTCAGCCCCACAGGCGTATTTCATCTTTACAGTAGTAAAGCCACGCAGTTAAATTGCTGCTTAAATTTTGATGTGTCTCAAATCCACGTTTTATTCCATAAATACAGTTTCCTGTTGTTTAACAGCTAGCCAGCTCTTTCGTTTGGAATTCAGGAAGAATGTAAAAATGTTGTACAAATAAATCAAAGCTTTTTGTAAACTGCATGTCTGCTATGCCACGGAAATGCAGTCCTCTCAGAAGCTGTGCTTACAGTTGATCTTGATAAAAATGTGTTCTTCAACCTCAGTGCAATGACAAATGATTTCTTACTATAATAAAAGTACTAAGGAGTCTTCAAACTACGGCAAATGAAATGAACCTTCATTTTTTCCCTCTTAGCTGAAATGCGGGGTAGGGGGGGAGGGAAGTGTGGGGTTTTTTTAATGTGAACAGAATAACAAGTAGTATTGCTTAAGCTTTGATCAAAGGCCACAAGACCAAGACTCTGTTTTCAGCTAGTGTGGTTAAAAAGCATAACAACGCTCATAATGTGTTTGAATAACTGAGAAGTCTTAAGCAGGTTATTCCGTGGGATTTTTTAAAAACGTCATTCAATTCCCTTAATTAATTTGTGGGTTTGTTTTGGTTTGTTTCGGTTTTGTTTTGGTTTTGGTTTTAGTTTGCAGTTAAATTTTCCAGAGGTGATTTCATGAAACTCTTGCTTCATGATGAGTGCACTACTAACCTCCCCAGTCTCTGTTCCCTTCATCCCCACTTTACAGGTGGGAAAGGTGCACTCAGAATTTGAAGTGCTGCATATCTACTGATTTTGTACATTGGATTTAAATCACTGTAGGTCTGAATACTTTAGAGCATCAGTTATTTGGAAGCACCTCTCACTGACATCCGTTCTGGCTGTGAGCACTTTGTGGTTTTGCTGATCTCAATTATAGCCTCTCAGTTTGGTTGTAGTGGAGCACACATTTAATGTTTCCTTGAAGTGATTTGTCCAGCAGCAGCCTACCATGACCACAGCAGGAGACACTGAAGCTGCTTCTCTGGGATGACTGTTACTTCTATGACTGTTACTTCTTTCCCTTGATAACCAAAGTCTTTTTATGCTTTCAAGCTTCTGCATCAAATGAGCATGGACAACACCTGTCTCTTTTCCACAACATGAATTCTCTGTCCCTACAGGCAAAGTGGTCCTTTCCAGGTGGAGTTACCCGCTTCATAGTTAATAAACACAAAAGTGGTCTAATTAATTTTTGAAATGCTCTCAATACTCTCATCAGCTTTGACGCTGTTTTACCAATAGTGTGTGTTCAGCAAGGATGGGGGAATTTGTAATTTTATTTTATTTTATTTTTTAAAGTAAACTAAAGGATCCATAGATAGAAGCATACTAAGGTCCAAAAAAACCAGTATTTGGACTTCAAAAAGGACTGTTGCCTTTGCCTGCTTTGTACTGGTGCTTGAAACAATCTGTTTGGAACTTTACCGACCTGTGCTGGAGTTGTACCAGTAACAAAGCATGAGAAGTGTGGGACCTAAATCAGTTTATGTTGTTTGATTAATACCTCATTTGTATTTTGTGTTTAATCTCTAGTTGCCTCTATTTTACACAGATACAAAAAGAGCTGTCCTCAGACCAGAAGGAGTTTGAAATCAAGCCGTCCCCGGTACGGGGCTGTGACTTCCTTTCTGCAGTCACTGGTCACTCAGACGGAACCTCGCTTCGCAATGTTTGGGCCGGGTTTGGAAGAGCTGGACAACTCTTTAGTGCAAAAGATGATGACATGCCCAGAAATTCTGCTGGTAGCTGGCCTACCTCAAAGACAAATTCATGGTAATGCTAGTTTTGGGTTTTGGCTTTTTTATTTTGTAAACAGATCTAGCACAAAAAACATTGGGGGAGAAATAAAGAAAAGGGATGCTTTTTTCTCCTCATGAAACTCAATAGCACAATGGTTAAAAATAATATTATCTCACTTTGTGTTTATTCAGGGGGATAAATGGAATGAACATGTGGGATAAAATTATAGCTGCAGTGAATTTATGTTTAAATTTGCACAATGTCAGAGGGATCATTTTGCTCCTTGTACTTTTAGTTTGAGCCACCTGCTGTTGTAATGGATAAAGGCAGACAGAGCTTTCTTTAGATACTGCTTGTATTAAGTGGCTAAAAACCATACTTGTGTTTTTATACAGGAAGTCAAGACTTCTTCTTCAAATGATTCAGTCTTGCAGTGTCTCTAATTTCACTGCATTCCAAACCAGAGAGAAAAAAATATTACTTTTTAACTGATGTTTATTTCAGCATAGCAGAATGGGAATAATTAAATTGTATTTAGAAATATAAAATATTTCTAAATGTATGAAAATATGTATGAAAAAATGTATGAAAATATTATTTCTAAGTGTTGTTGTCTTTTTCTCTCTTATGTCTTTCTCAATTGCTCTGCCAGCTTCGGCTAATGAATGCAAGTCTAGCACCTCTTTGACTTGGGTTTCTAGGTTCAAGTCTAAGTATCAGAAACATGAAAATGCTTCCTCGTTTTCTTTTAATGCTATTTAATTGATTTTAATTCAGTTAATAATGTGACTAATTAGAGCATATATAAAACAGTAAATATGCTACACACTGCAGCAACACTTTGGCTTGGATGTGCCCGTTTTAGAGCACCACTGGAATTTTCAGCCTCCCTACCACTTAGTTGTATTCACTAACCAAGTAGTCGTAATCTCACATCTTTTTTTTTTTTTTTTCCCCTGTAGGAATTGGATCAGGAGTCAGTTTTCAGTTTAATAACAATCAAAAATTCAATATTCTGACATTGTATTCAACTACCAGGTAAGATTTGTTCTCCACAAAAAAAGATATGTACAGTTTCTCAATTAATTCATACTTTTCCTCATGTTTTTGTCATGGGATTTTTATGCCTGCATTCACATGCATGGGTATCCCTTATAAACTGAAGCTTCTTTACTTTTTCTTTTTTTTTTTCTCCAACTGCTAAATTTTCATGGGGAAGCAATAAAGCTTTTCCAAACCTTATACATAGCAATTGTGTATGACAAATACATAACAGGTGCTTTGCTCCTCTTGATACCTTGATTGATTCCTTTTTGAAACACTATATAAACTCATCCTGGGGTATATTTTCATATGCATCTTGCAGATTGCTAACCAACTGTGTATGTACGCTAGAAAAGAAGGGGAGAAGGGGGGGTGGGAGGAGGCGGGGAAACATTAAACTGTTTTGTTTATTGAGGTCATTTTCCTGTCCCTTTCGGGTGCTGCCTAGACTCCCAAAATTGAGTTTTTGCATTCTCAATTGACCTGACTACTGAAATACTGAACTCTCTTTCAGTGTGGAAAGGAGGAGAGCAAGAGAAGAGCAAGCTGTTGCTGTGAATAAGATGTTCTACCAAGAGAACAGCGTAGTAGGGAATCAGCAAGCCATGCACTACAGTGTAATAGCTCAAGTTAAAAAGGTGTGCGAAGTAGTTGATGGATTCATTTATGTTGCTAATGCAGAAGCTCATAAAAGTAAGGGGTTTCTCTTTGTTTTATTTATTATTTTTTGTGAATAACAGCAAGGTCATAGAATATTGCAAAGAATATGCAATACATCAAAACCTATGTTCTGATTCTTTCAAAATCTGCTTCATTAGTGCTGTTTCTTCATGGCCGATGACGTCCCCTAATCTAGTCACTCTCCCTTATCTCCCTGTTAGGTGTTATAACCCCCTTCTTTCATATATGGCAGATACTGACATGGTTGCTCAGCTACGCAAGGGAAATTATCTGGATTTGAAAACAAACAAAACCAAAAAAAACCATCCCTGGCCATAGGTAGAAGAAGCCTGAAATGCTTTGGTGGTGGTGTAATAGCCTGGAAACAGAACCTTCACCAAGAAAGCTGCAGTAAAAGATGCAATTAGCCCAAATTAGGATACCAACCCAAATCAGGATACTAATCCAAATACCCTCTATGGTAATTGTCTTTACATTCACCAACTTTAAGTGGAAGTAAGGGGCTAGCTCAGAAAAGAAGAGTGTAAAACAAATTTAAAAGGATATACTAAGGAGAAAAGTACGGTCAGTAGTACAGTACTGACTGTACAGTTTATGAGTATTTCTTAATGGCTTGCTACAATTTTGATCTCTGTGAGGTACTTGGAAAACGGTCTCATGTTAAGAACTGGGATACGCTGCCTGTAGAATCTATTGAGATCTTCACATAAGATCTACGTGTGACATGAATGGAGATCTTCCAGCCTTGTGATAAGCAGAACTAAATCAGATTTGGCCATGTCCCTTCCAGTCTTCTGTTTCTTCACCTCTGAAATCTTAAATATTTGAATAGTCAAAAAAAAAAAAAAAGTTTTCCTTGGGATTTGCATACATTTAATACTCATGTATTAAAAATTGTTTCTTAGAACATGATCGTCAAGAGGAACTGGCTCGTATTTTGGCAATGACTGATCCAGCCCTTGGGCCTCCGAACAGGCCTCTGCTAGTTTTGTCGTGTGTCTCTCACGTTGATGTGAAGCGAATTCCTTGTGTTTACATGGCACATCAGTTGCAACTGAATCTGCTGCATCAGCCCTGGATGGTACATGCTTTTAAAGCTTTATTTTCTGGTTCTTAGTGGCTTAAATTTAATTTTTGATTATGATACTGTGCCTACCTAAGCAAGTGCGCAACTTTCAATACTAGTATGTGAGCTCTCCTCTTAAGTAAAAAATTTAGTTTCTCTGGTCCTCTAAGGTGAAGCATTAGCCTGTCTGAACATAGGGGAGCTAAGCAGCCTGCCCAGAAGCACACAAGAAACTTCAGATGCAGCCAGAATGTAAGGAAGGGTGAGATGCTGGTCTTGAAGGGAGTAAGGAAGCATCAGTTAATCTAAATTTCCTCAGTCACAATCCCAGGCCTTGAACACAAGATAGATTTTCTGCCATTTTCAGGAGACTGTTAATTGTCACTCACTTGACATGATGTATTGAGTTTTTGACAGATCGGTTTTTTGCTTAGGGTGTGAGGTCCTGAACCTGTTCTTTTATGCTTGCCAAGCACAACATTTATCAGTATGGGTCAGCCATACGTAATTTTTGGTGATGTTGCGTAGCCAAGGAATAATACTTAATAGGAAAAAACAAAATTCTGATTTGAGAATTCCTTTGCTTATGTAAGGAAAATGTTTACAGGCTTTTTTTTTTTTTTTTAATACACTTTATAATAGCCATTTTATAATACATTATAAAAGCTGAGAATTAATAATAGGCATTGAATTCTAAAGCTGGCAGCATTTTTGCTTTAAGAGTTACAAGAAGAATTTTCAAGTAGATTCTCATCCTTTAAGTATAAAGTTCCAGAATAGCTGAAGGAACAATTAAGATAAAGTTTACCTTGATACCAAGAATGTAAGGGTTTCCTAATGGGTCTTATAATCCATTTTGTAAAGAGTAGTATTTTCTTTTTGTACCTTACTCTTAAGGAGCTGTTTTTGTCTCAGGGACCTTTACACTAATGATAAAAATTTAGACTTGATATGAGTATTACTGACTTTCAGGATAGACATGGAGTGATGCTAAAATGCTCTTACCTGTTATTACCTGTTGTCTCTAACACAAGAGCTTTTTCTATTCTTTTACAGGTGCAGGACACCGTAGCTGCAAGTTTAGCTGGATTGATAAATGGAATTGAGTGGCTCCTGGAAGAAGCAAATTGTAAAAACGCACAGTAATGGAACCATGCATTGTTTTACTGTATAGGGAATTTAGTGTTTTGCAATTGAAGTGAGAATCTTGTCCTCAAAGAGCACTGTCAGAAGGGAGGTTTAAGAGACAAACCTGCATCTATTTCACGGCACATACTTTAATAATTAACTTTCCTCCAACTGTAGTCCTGAATTAGAAGTACAAGCGGGATTGCCTGGATTCCAGCAGCTGATGAAGAGCTGAGTTTGGTGGGCAGTCTGGGTGTTCTGTTTTTTTTTTTTCTTTCTTTCAGGCTGGGGCCTTTAGGGTGCAATTTTTTCTCAGTATATCTGGTAATCTAATCTCTTCTGTAAATATACCTAACATTAGGTTAGTTTATCAGCACAGCACTATGGCACACATCACACATTCAGTAAGTATATTCAGTGGAGATTCTGACAGTGGCAGTTCCCAATCAACATAAATATACTGTACGTTGTACAGTAGTAGGTTGACAAAAGGACAGCATCTCTTTCAAAAGAGGAAATTCCCCTGTATTCTTTCCAGAAACTATGCCTAAGCATGAAATAGCACCTGTGGGAGAATTATCAGCCCAGACCAAAATTCTTAGAAGCAAACAAACAACCTGCCATGTATGAATTGTTTGTTTCTTGTTTGTGATACTATTTATTAATCAACCACAAAAGACTTCAGCATCTTCCGTTGCAGTGAAATTATTAGCTTGAACTGGACATACCTCTGATGTCATGAATAAATGTTAAATAGAGTCATTATTACTTCAGGATATTTTTGAATATATAGAACCTATCAGTTACTCAAATACTTGTGGCCATTTACAGATATGAAGTGTACTTGGCTTGAAATTTTTTACACAGTAGCAAGTACTTTTATAAAATGGGAAAAAAAAATTAGAGCTGGAATTGCATTTTCTATATTCATATCATTTGGGATAGTCCTAGCCTTCCACCTTTTTAATGTTTTTAATTATTGGATGAATGTTGAGAAACATCTCTTGGTTTTCTTTCCCATGCATGTGTTTCTTTTGTTCTGGGGTTTTGTGGTTGGTTTTTTTCCTCTCTCTCCATGAAAATGCGGTAATCACAATTTTTTGGGGCACCTAGATGCCTAAGCATGAAATAGCACCTGTGGGAGAAAATGAAAATGCATGAAAATGCAGTAATCTCACAATTTTTTTGGGTACCTAGAAAATGACTACATGGTGCACATTCAGATGTAGCTGCCCTCAGTCTGGTATATGTGTGTGATGCTCAACAAGCTGGGTCAGAAACATTCCATTTAAGAAGTTTTGTTTATTTTTTTAATGAACTAGGACAGACATGGGAAATGTCTTTAATTTTTTTCATCTTTATACATAATTAACTCAGCTTTCTAGATATTTTTATATATTTTCTAATCTTAGGGAGTTTCTAAACTTTGGGAATTTCAAGTGAAAATCCATGGGAAGCATGATAATTCTGTGGTTTATCTTTTTTTTTTTTTATTTTAATAGGGTATGTGTGCTTTGCCCATTAAAACAGAGGAGACACAAAAAACTCATGAGTACTTGGGGAAAATTCCATCCTTTGTGACTGGGTGTCTGTGACGTGCCTATTAGTCACAGTAATTCCACAGTGAACTATCTGTAGAGGGTGGAATGCAGCAACCTGCTGCTGTTAGCTACTACAAATACGTGTTTTTTTACACAAGATCTTTGTTCTGCTTTCTTCATAAGGAATAAATTATTTTTTAAAGAATGACGTTTACAGTCTTGATGTATTAAGCCCTGCCTCCTGCATGCACATATGCATGCACACACACACACACATCTGCAGTCATGCTGTCATAACATAACAAATTATCATTGTCATCATTAGCTATCAATGAGCAGTGTTATTCTATGTTATCTGATTAATTAACAGATATTAATTCACTGTCATTTTGCAAGGTCAGGATAATGTAGGGGAATACAGTTTTTCGTAACCTGAAGAACATCAGTTACATTAACTTAAGGATAGGATAACTTAAGAATTACAGGTTTTAAGGATGCAGCCTGGGAAGCACAGAGTGGGAATCAGAAGTCCATGCAGCCACAGAGCTCCAGCATCACAGAAATGGCAGAGCAGGTGGAGGGGTTGCTTGTGCGAGTGAGCACCGTGGTGGGTCAATGCAGGCTGGGCAAAGGGAGGTGCCTACAGAGGCTCTGGGAGAGGCACCCGGCCTCTTGAGAATTCACATGCCAAATGGTGGCAGAGATGCGCTGCGGATTTCATTTAGCACTACCTTTTACATTTCATCTAAACACTTCCCACTGTTTGAATTCCTGAGTCTGCTGAGTTCATGAAGCTTAGTAAATCAAATTAAGCTCCGGACTTAAATTGTTATAAACGCAAAAATATTTGGGTGTGGAATGTTGGAACATCACAGAATCACACAGAATCACACAGAATGATACGGGGTTGGAAGGGACCTCTGGAGATCACCTAGTCCAACCCCCTGCCAAAGCAGGTCCACCTAGAGCAGGTTGCACAGGAATGTGGCCAGGTGGGTTATGAATGTCACCAGAGGAGACTCCACCACCTCTCTGAGCAGCCTGTTCCAGGGCTCTGCCACCCTCAAAGTTAAGTAGTTCTTTTTAAAACTTTTTAATATAATTTTTTTTTTTAAAAGAAAAAACCCCAAACTATTTGGTTTTGTATTTATCATAGTAAATGCAACTGGATGGGTTTGAGAGAAATAAAACCATCAGGATCTGTATCCCAGAAACCTTGCTCTCCTGGGTGAGGGAGGGAGGTTCTCACAGTGCTTGAAAGAAAATCACTTTGCTGCTGGCTGAGGCAGGATGTTTATCTAAACGGTGGTCACCAGATAAAAATAAACACACGTGATTTGTAAGAAAACTCCGTTACTGAGGCTACCCCTGAGGAGCTTTCCCCCAAAATAAAGTGGCTGTGGGGATGCTGATTTTCACGTCTTCGGAGCTGAGGATGAGGAGACCACCGGCTGCAGGCTCCGGAGGTGAGAGACCTTCCAGGCTGGCAGGAGAGAGGAGGCAGGACCCCGACAGCGTCCCCGTCGCTTGCTGGTTGCCTGGCGGTGTCCTCTGCCGGAGCGGCCCCTCGGTGGC